CATTGCCATAATTATCCTCAAAGAGTCTTTCTTAGAAACAGGTGAGAAAGTCTCATTGTAATCAATGCCTTTTTTTTGAGTGAACCCCTTGGCGACAAGTCTAGCCTTATGTCGTTCTACCTTTTCCTTTACAGTCTCTTTTGGGTCTTATAGACCCATTTACAGCTGACTACTGTGGCACCAGGAGGTAGTTCAACTAAATTCCAAACATTATTTTTATCCATTGAGTTCAACTCTTCTTTCATGTCATCATACTAGTTGGAGGAATTCAAACTATTCATGGCTTGTGAGAAAGTAGTTGGATCATCACACTTTCCAATATCAAAATCGGACTCTTGAAGGTACACAATATAATCTGATAGAATTGTAGATTTCTTAATCCTTGATGACCTCTTTAAAGTTTCTTCTTGCCTCGCTACATATGAAAGTGAAGCAAGATTCTCAGTAATAGTGGGTTCAATTACAGATGGTACATTAATAGTTGACTCATCCTTCATCAAATTATTATGAATAATAGGATGAGGAATCATTGCCAACCCATCTGAACTTTGCATAGAAATTGGATGTTCCTCAATATTTTGAGGTTGTATACTCCCACTGACTTGGTCATTTTCAAGAAATTTTGCATTCTGTGTCTCTACAATCCGTAGAGAATGATTAGGACAATAAAATCCGTATCCCTTGGACTTCTCTGGATAACCAACGAAATAGCCACTTATGGTTCTAGGGTCCAACTTTTTCTCTTAAGAGTTATACACCCGAGCCTCAACTTGACAACCCCAAATGTGTAGATATGCTAAACTAGGTTTTCTACCGGTCTATAACTCAAAAGGTGTTTTAGGGACAACCGTAGTAGGAACCCTATTTAGAATGTACACATCGGTTTTCAAGGCATCACCCAAAAAAGAGACAAGGAGAGTGGAGTAACTAATCATACTCCTAACCATATCCATTAGTATTCAATTCCGCCTTTCTGTTACTCCATTTTGATCAGGAGTGCCTGACATGGTATATTATGCCACTATACCTTCTTCCTGAAGGAATCGAGCAAATGGACCTAAGTGTTATCCGATTTCAGTGTACCTACCATAATACTCACCACCCCTATCCGACCTCACGGTTTTGATCTTTTTGTCAAGTTGTAGCTCTACATCTGTTTTGAAAATCTTGAAAGCATCTAAGGCTTGGTCCTTATAAAACAAGAGGTATAGACAACTGTATCGTGAGAAATTGTCTATGAAAGTGATGAAATATTTATGGCCTATAAAATATGGGGGCGTGAATGGCCCACAAATATCTGTATGTATGATATTCAACACATTTGAGCTTCTTATGGTACCTTTCTTGAACTTGTTAATCTGTTTACCCTTAACACAGTCTACACAAGTGTCAAAATCTGTGAATTCAAGACTTGGTAAGATTCCATCATTTACCAATCCCTTGATTCTCCTTATGGAGATGTGTCCTAATCTCCTGTGCCATAAAGTGAAAGAATTTTCATTCAAAATGCCACGTTTTAATCCACAATGTTCTTATTATCATACAGGGATAACAAAGATGCTGCAAAAGATGTATCTAGAGATAATTTAAATAAACCATCCTCTAAAATACCATCACCAACCACAACATTATTCAAATAAAAACTAACAGAGGAAGGTCCAAACATAATATGATAACCAAAAGAAACAAGTCTAGATACTGATAAAAGGTTTCTAGTCATGCAAATATATGATGTGGCCAGTCTTTAGAACAAGTCTGAACATCCCAACAGCTTCCACACATGACCGCATCTTATTTTCCATAATGATGCATCGTTCACTTTCTGTTGGGGCCCTTTTGTTCAGCAATTCCTGCATGGTATTACATATGTGGACAGTTGTACCAGAGTCAATCCACCATGTGTTATGAGGTACATTAATGAAATTTGATTCATAATACACTAAAGAAAGAAATGTACCTTTCTTCTCAAGCCATTTCTTATACTTGATGCAGTCTTTCTTTGCATGTCCCTTTTTCTTGCAAAAGAAACATTTGAAGTCCTTTTTGTCTGTCGATTTGGCTGACACTTTCATGTTCTTTTTGTTAATTGGAACATGGTAGTTGCTACTACCTACTTCCACCTGTCCTTTCCCTTTATGAGAGGTCAAATGGACACTTTCTTGCCTCTCTTGCTTCAGTCTCTGTTCTTCATTAACACACATGGTCAAAAGTTAATTCATAGACCACTTCTCCTTATGTGTGTTGTAAGAGATCTTAAATGGAGCATACTCCGAAGGAAAAGTATTAAGGACAAAGTGGACAAGAAATGTCTCAGACATGTCAACTTCCAGTGATTTGAGTTGGGCAGAGATGTCATGTAATTCCATAATGTGCTTGCGTATGTCACTGTGACCATTATACTTCAAAGAAGCAAACTTTGAAATCAGGGTGCTAGCAAGTGCCTTTTTAGAGCTCACAAATTGCTCCTCAACTGCAGTCATGAACTCCTAAGCAGTTTTGGAGTTCGAAATGGAGCCTCTGATTTTCCTTGAGATATGACTTTGCATGAGGAGGAGACTGAGGCGGTTAGACCTCTCCCACTTCTCATGCAATTTTTTTCCCTCGAGCGTACTGAATTCCGTAGCGATAGGTGGTCTATCCTCACGAAGCGCAGTGTCAATCTCAATACACCCCAAAGTAGAGATAATTCTATCAATTGGTATCAGATCCGGTCATGGGATATGGTTCTTAGAATTTATTTTATTCGTATGAGTAAATATGCGAGAAGAAAATTTTATGAAATAAAATTCCGTTCTGAAATTTGTGTGATTCAGTATATATATATTCTACAGTTTTGTTTACGCAGGCTTTAGTCTTTGTTGTTGCTGTCGGTACACCTTTGATATGATATCAAGTTTGGCTTTTACGGTCTATTTTGGTTTGATTTCAAATGCATTAGTGGACAAAAGTCTTAAATATGATAACTTGTATTATTATATTACAAAATTCTTAATGGTACAGACACATTGAATGCCTTGAAATTATGAGACCATGAATAGTCAAAGCATGCTTTTATGTTTTATATATATTTTGTGCATCCCCTACTGGAATACCATTGTTGCTATTTAATGGGTATGGTGTATGCATAAAGGCTATCAATTTTCTTTTTAACAGTATATTTGTCCTATTTGATGACCTTGTGCCGCTGTTTTGATGGCATTTTGGCCATGAAAAATTTATTTGAATCTAGTTTTAGGCCAAACTTAATTATTTTAATTATTGGATTCATATGAAAAAATTATTTGTTCTTATGTCATGATTCGGAGTATTCTATACATAATGACGAGCCAAAGCATCTTGTGTATGAAAACTTATGTTTGATAAAATTATATTTATTTTAATTTTATGGTGACGAGCCAAACCATTCCATAATTTTAAAATATAAGAAAATTTATCAATAAAGAAATATTGTGTTTATCCATGACATTGAACACTTGTACCATATTAAATAATGGCTTTACCCCAAAGGGAAGTTATTATATCCTAAGTGATCGGTGGGGTGAAATAATGGTTTGAGGTATTGTGGGTAAGTTGAATTCTTGTTGCCCAAAAGTCTTGAATTCTATTTTTCTAGGATGCTTTATGCCGTTAGTTTCTTCGTTAGATAAATTATTGTAATGTTGTATAAAGTGATTTATCACTAAAATTGCTAATATGAGTTAGTAATTTAGATAAAGTTTAAGCGTGATTATTAGCATGCATATTAATTATAAGCATGTAATATTTTATTTTGCAGCTTTACTACCTAGTCTTATGTCTCAATTTGCATCTCATATCCCCCTCACTAGTAACCAACTGCCTCACGTTAAAATAATCAGTAACTATTCCCTCCCATCAAGATAACTTCCAGGAAATTGACTACTTGTTAAACATGTTTCCTTGTACCTAGGACACCACTTTAAAAAGGAAACTACCCACTAACCTAACTAACATGTGTTAGGTCTTTTAATTAGGATATCCTTATCCCAAAACCCAAGTCAGTACCTTGTTAATTAAGGTCCACATGTGGGTCCCATTAAATAGGTTCCAACATGTGGAGTATTCTTGCTCTTTGTAAGGTCATTTCTTGACCAAATCTTGTCCAAAATTGTTTTCCATATAAAAATGAATTCCAAAACACAGTACATGATCATATAGGGATCATTGCTGTAGTGGTTAAATGCTTGGGCTAACAATTGCAAGGTACTAAGTTTGAATGTAAGGCAACTATTGTGTACACAGAATGCCAATCGTTAGGCCTATATCTAATCCACCTATCTCAGCATCCGTGGTCAATGGGGATCAAATTTGGCAATGGCATTTACTTTCTGACCTTAAAGTCACTGCTCAGGCTTGTGTAATCTTTATTATTCAACTTAAATTTTTTTTTTTTAAGAGCTTCTTACATTTTGGGCCTGCTGCATTTCCATTTCTTTTGAGCTAAAAAACGTGAGAATTTTGCATGGACTGTAAAATATGAGTAAGATCGGGCAGAAAAGAAGAGTGCAAGTGGGCTAAACAGGAGAATTGACCAGACAGAGTTTCTCTTTTTTATGGTGGTGTTCAAAACTTACCCTCAAGATCAATATTTTTTGCAACCTGCCTATTTAATGGGGATTGGTTGCTATATGGATAATTCCTGGGTAAATTTTTTCAGACAATTGACAATTGCAGTAAGAAACTGCAGATTCTAAAGATACTAAAAGACGTTCATGCTCTCTCCCTCCTCTACCTGTCTCCCCCCCCTCCCCCCAATGGAACTCTTGGCTTCTGTAATGTCAATTTCGTTTCCTTTGATTCCCCATTTCATGAACACTTAGAGATGTAGAATTTTTCCAAATCCATATTTTTTTTCAAATATTTTCTTATAGATTTTCAATGAGCTTATCACATCAATCTACTGCGTTTTTTTTGTTGATGGGCTATTACTAAAGAAATCATAATAGTTGTTGTTTAAGAACGGAACTTCCATGGAATTGCAGGCGGCTCGGAATTTTAAAAGCTTTAAGCTTGCTGCGAAAAGATTGGAAGAAGTTTCCGTGTCTTGTAGAGGGATAGAAAGAGTTCAGTTGCTAAGAAGGTGGTTGGTTGCATTAAAAGAAATTGAAAGAATATCCGGAGGTGATATTGAGATTAATGGGACAAACTCTGAGCAGCTTCTTATCTCTGATGAATCCAAGGATTCCCCGAGGAAGCCTACTGTGGTAAGTGTAATTTTGTATTTGTTTTTTGAAAGTAAGTAATTCCTGTGTGGTCAAGGAGTCTCGGGCATCAATGCCCAGGATGCTTGTTATTAGATGTAATGATCCATAGAAGAGAAACACTATAGAGAAAAAGATTCTTATTTTTTTCCTACCGTAATTGTGGATATGAAATGCTTGCCAAATATTTTATGCATTTCAAAGTTATGAAGGACAACTTGATTGCACTTTTGAAACATTTCATCCCTCCATCACCCATCATGACAAGTAAGTCCCTCCCCCCACCCCCCCCAAAAAAAAAAATACCACCAATTAATTTTTCAATTTGTACGTCTTTGCAGTTAGTTCTGTTAACAAATCAATAACATTGCCCACTATACAGAACCATAATGGCCTTTGTGACCCACCATCACACTGCCACTGCTACCATGTTGGGCACCGATTCCTGCCACTCCCCACCACTGTCTCTCTTTTGATGCACCACTTCAACATTGGATCATTCATTTAAGATGTAAAGTCGTGTGATTTTATCATCTTGAAAAGTCACTATTTCAATTAAAACCACCGCCAAGGTAAATATGTGTAATTTTTCTTTTTAAAATACACATTATGTGGTTTTAAGCAATTTTTGAAAGCTCTGAGCATCAATGATTTAGCTTTCACAAATAAGCACTTACTGCATAGACCCTAACAGTGTACCCTCTAATATGACCTTGTTGGTCGCTTAACTATACTAAGTTGTACTTTGCATGCTTGATAACAGGTAGCTTGTGCTTGTGAGAATTGAGATTTGGTGAATTTTCTCTCATTATTTGTTTGGGCAGATTATTAATATGTTCATATCTTCCTACAGGTTTTGTATTATGATGCTGATCTTGGTGGAGAAGCAATGAATTTCCGCGAGGTGTTTCTTCACAGTCAAGCTCTTGAAGGCATGACATTGTCCATGGTAAGCTGATGAATAGTTTCTTTCGGTTCCATAATCATATACAGTGTGTCCCAGCAATTGACTTTGCATATGTCCCTGCTTTTTGCTCTCTTCTACTTTGGACTCGGAGGATACGAGTTAAGAATAGCACAAGAAATTATAACCGATCAGCTATTGTTCTGTCTTGGAGGCTTGATTGACAAGATACTTATTGTCTTTATAAAAAAATGGACCTGAG